TGTCCTCTATGCTCTAACTACGAAAATATTTGATTTACAAATAAGGAATCCTACTTCGCGGAATTTCATTTATCACCGTAGGGTCTAGAACCGATTAACTGCGATAAACGAGGGTTCACTGTACTTTGAAAATGGTGATGGCAACATATGCACAAATGGGACTGATATAATGGATGTATGGATTGTTGTAAGGGCCCGCTATAAAATGATTAAAAATAATAAATAATAAAGAAAACCTCTCAGGAGTCTTGGTCCAACCAGTTTCAAGAATGCAGCTCCTCACTTTTAACAGACCACTTATCAGCCTGACACAATGTCGTTAACGACGCAAGATCCAGAAGTCCCGCTGTTGCAAGCACCTGAGTTGTCCAACAGAACTCACCTGCAATTGCACGTACTGACAATTTCCCATCAGACACTCGAGGAAGAGACAGCCAGGATTGCTGGGCCATCTAGTCCGTAACAGATAAGGGTTAACAAACTTGAATACACACGTTGGACATTCCTGTGAAGTCGCTCTCAAACAAAGAACGAGAAGGCGGCAGGGCACGTGTTCTCCCCGCCTCACGACGGAACACGAACAAGGGGCACAAGGGCAGATCCCAGGCTACGAACTTCTGTCTTAGGACAACACATCCTGGCCCTCTCATATTACGGTTTGTAGATTTGCCCTCACTCTGAACCAACTGAATCGACCCTTAGCTCCCAGAAAATTGTTCAGCTCAGTCATGCTCACTTGCTGCCTGTGCTTTTAAATAAATCACTGAAGAAGTTTCAAGCATTTTTTGTCCTAAAATAAGAATATATGTACCTGCTACCACCTCGCTAACAAATTCAATTCAAAGACTCAGGTAGGAACAGAACTCATTGCTCACCCGAGGCCTACTGGTATAACAGACAGCGTATGTTAGCAGCCTAGCCTCTCAGCGCAGAGCCAAGTTAACTCTGGGCTAGCGCGTCCTTCACCCCTGTGGTCACTTCCATTCCTAGCTGACACACTGCAGATTCGTAATATGAGACAGGCACCCAGAGGTTAACACAGTAACAGAGCTATTCACATATTCAACAAATACTTAAATGAATGGAAATGCCTTAGCAGTAGTCTACGTGAATATGTGGGACCCAATAAAGTTTGGCTGAACTCCTGAACAATAAAGCAAAAAAAAAAGAGGGAGAGAAACAGAAAGCATCTGGAAAAATAAGGTCAACTGGCAGTAGTGGGGAAGGAACCACCCTCCCCAAGAAGCCTTCAGGCCAGCCGTACACCGTTGCTGAGAAAGTGAAAGGATACAGAATCTGCAGGAGGTAATTGGTAATCGCAGTAACCATTTCAGGCCAATTCATCCCAGTCTGGCTCAGAGGGGCCTTGGGCTGAGAGAAGAGATGAGCTATAATGTGTTTCCTTGCAACTTCTTGAAAGAATAACTCCACAATCGTCGGAGGGCTAGACACTTAGGAAGAAAAGGATATGACAATTACAAACTTGTGAAAGTCACATCATTTTCAATTAAGACAGGGCACTGATTCATTGTCTACAACAAAGAACATTATTTCAAACGAGAAACTCCATCACAGGTGTGATCAACAGTGTTACCAATATAAGCACGCTACACACTCTTAAAATGCAATGGAAAGGCCACTTACATCAACATTGCTCCCATTTATTTCCACTGACCTCACTGTACCTAAGTGCCCGTGCTAGAGCCCCATGAATTGGTTCGTCTCAGTTCGGCAATGGCCCATGAAGCCAAACCGTAATGGACCTGAATTTGTAAAATGTGGTGGAACTGGAAAGATCATCAGAACAGGAAAAGCTACGGGTTGACACATGGCTGGAAACATAATCGCCCTCTCAGAAAAGAAAGGCATGTTTAAACAGATGTTGATCCGCAGAGTTGGAAACAGTGGTGTTCGAGATGGCAGCAGCAGCTGCTTTGCCTGTGCTGCTCTCCACAGTTCTGGCAATAACCCACCACCCAATCTCCTGCATCAGGCTCCTGAAGGGGCTCAGCACGCTTCCATCCCATCTCCCATTCCAGAGCTTTGGCTTCTAAGTTTTCCTATTCTGCTTCTCCCACATTTTGAAAATTTGGGTCTGTCCTGATTATACTGTGCGGGCCATTACTGGACTGGTGTGAGCCCCTGCTTTCTTAGAAAATGTTGAACAAATAAAGGACTATGACTTCAGGTTTCATATGAAAATATAAAAGAAACCGTTTATAAAACTGACTGATGACACTTTCAAGCAAGAGACTGCCAACCACAAAGCTGGGGGTTCAAGACGACCAGCCACTCTGCAAGAGAAAGGTGCAGGGTGCTGCTTCTGTGCAGATCCCCAGCCCCGGATGCCAGTCAGAATTGACTGCAGGGCAGTGGTTAGATTTTAAGAATAGGCAAGATCACAAGCTCAATGAATTAAAAAAAAAACCACCCAGCCAACTTGTTTAGTCACTCACTAGCACATCAAGCTACTGGGAAATCAGCTGTATTGATGTGCACACCTATGGGCGTGGACACCTTTCACTCATGCCTCATCTCAGCCTGGAGCTTCATGGGTCCTTGGCCACAGGCTGCTTACTCTCTCCAAGTGAAAGCAAACAGCCCAGGCAATCGCTCTCTCCACAGCAAAGAGGGCAGGAGACCATTTCCATGAACACGCAGCAGAATGTAAATTTAAATCCATGCCCACACAGCCCCATACTCACCACATTTATTTGCCATTAAAGCACCAGAGTCACTCAGTTCCAGAACCGACAAGTGTTGGAGATTAGACTCTCTGAGGGGAGAGGGAACAGGCAGCTCATTACGTTCACACAGGCCACACATCAAGTTGTCCTAGGGTGAACCCGAGCCACTAGCAAACAGCATGGGAAAGCTGCCCTGTCAGCACACAGCGAAGGGCAAGGCCTGCCAGGACTTAGTCTTATGCCCACTGCTTCACCCAGCGATCCAACTGTGAGGAGTCAGGGCAGTACTTTCTCTGACTTCCACGCCAGGGGAAACTCAACCTTACCGGACTGTCTTTCTTCCTGTGGTTACAAAGAATCTCAGCCCGTCTGTAGTGCTAATAATACCCAGTGCAGCACTGCTGTGTGGCCTAGCTTTTCCTGTGACCTCACTTTGTTATTCACCTTCAAAATGTCAGTACATTCAGGATCAAATGTAATGCATGTGTTTGGTTTTTTGGGGGTGGGTGGGTATAGAATTGATTTTATAATTATGTTTTTGGCAAAGGTTTACATGGCCAGTTGGGCTCTGTTGGACGATCTCCATGGCATGGTCCAGTGCATCAGTTATACCTTTCACAATGTGTCAGTGTTCTCTCTCCCCAGTGTGCTCTGCTGTCTGTTCTACTCCAGTACCCAGCTTCCAGCCCCTCACCTTTGCTTTAGAACACAGCTTCCCAAACTATTTGGCTTACTGCCCACTTTTGTAGAAGGCAAATTACTCAGTGCCTCTCCCTCCCGCATTTAAAAAATGTTGTATTGTAGTCGACAATCCATAAAGTGTGGGAGTAGGCTTCTGTAACCCCCCCAGAACGTTTCAGCACGGCCTCCTGCTCCCCCAGGGGTGGTTTTGTCCTCTTTGGGAAACAATGCTTAGAGTAACTGTTGACCTTTGGGCTGCACCTTTCTAGTGGCTCATGACTCAGACCTGTAAGTTACTTTCAACCACCAGACAATGGACATCTTAAAACGAAATTCATGTTTGGGCCTATAGTTACTTTTTGCTTAACAAAAGTAAAAAAAAATCAAGCCTACAATTTGTAGGTCATTAACATACTGAAACTCACAGCGTGTCCACAGGCACGTCGGTGGCCAGGCACTGGCTGGCCCACTTCATGAGGTGGTAGGACAAGAGCAGGGGAGCTGTTCGATGCAGGAGGTCTTGCTGAGCTTGAAAGAGCTGACGAGCTCCCAAAACCACCTATTAGTGGCAGGAGGGGTGGATAAAACAATAAAAGTCGTTAGTAATCCTAACGCTTAGGGTTCAGATGCGGTTGAAATAACAGAGGCAATTAAAAAGGGCAGCTTATCATCAAAGCAACACATCTATTACAGTTCGGGGTGGAAAGTAGCAAAAAATCTTCCCAAACATTCAGCAGTCCCAAAATAATCACAAACAGTTCACCAACCAGAGCCAAGAGCAAACAGACAGCACCACAACCATAAGTCTGTGGTTCACAATGGAGGACAAACAGGGAAGTCCGTGCCCTCTAGCTTTACTGTGTAAAATTGGGTGTGAAGGTGAAGGTGACAGTATTACTCAGTGTCTTAACCCTGTGCATGCCCTGTGACCAATCAAGTCTAGTTCTGAGACTTTATCTTCCTGTTATAACCAAAGGTGTGCAGAAAGCCATAGAGATGAGGGCCAATGTGGCCGTAACCCAGAGCATCTCAAAGGGGGTTTGCTGGGTAACGTGTAACTGTACAAGGTTGCTATTAAAATAATGTTGTAGAAGATGCTTCATGACATCAAGTATGTGGATGAGATCTGTCAAGTAGGAATGTTACAAAGCAACACTATGTCGAGTATTTAATTTTATAAAGATACTACTTGTCTGGAAAAGGAGGCGGTCCATCAAAATACAAATGGTGGTTATGATTGGGGCCAAGATTATAGATGAATTTTCACTTTATTTTATAAAGGTTCTACAATATCTAAGACTAGTTTAATTTCAAAGAGCTTAGTAAGGGTTAGGTAGCCTTGCCAAAGATAAAGTGTCTACTTCCCCTTTGGTGATTCTAAAGTATCCATTTCCTTAAATGTGTTTCCTTCTTTTTACTTGAAATTCTACCACTAGCAATGAATTTCAAAAAGTGTAACTATAGGGGTAGGGTGGGGGTGGTGGATTAAAAAATGTGTAACTATCTCTGGGAGCCAATCAACATGAACAGGTTTAATCAGAGGGGAGCTCTGGTGGGGGAGTGGTTATGAGTTGGGCTGCTAATCGCAAGGTCAGCGGTTTGAAACCACCAGTCCTTCCCTTGGGAGAAAGACGGGGCTTTCTACTCCCATAGAGTTACCCTCACAGACACTCTCTGGGGCAGTTATATCCTGTCTCACAGGGGCAATGTGAGCCAGCATTGACTCCACCGCAGATAACTTTCCTGCCAGGCTCGGATGACACTCCAGGCTCAGAGTCAAGGCAGACTTCCGACTGTGGACGTAAAGGAAGTTCTGAACATGGCACACTCAGGAGTGTGGGGCCTGGGACTGCACACAATGACAAGTCTGCTGGGACTGTGGGGGTGATGGCTGTTAAGTTAGAATGCATAAAGGAGGAACAGTGTAGAAAGCGCAGAATGCCGCTCAGCCTTCCCGAGCGGGCCTGAGAAACGGCAAACCGTTTGTTCTCTGTCCAATGGCTCCTGGCACACCGGTGAGACACAATGGCTCTGAGAACCAGCACGCTCTGTAAGCTTCCGCACTCCTCTGCGTGCGCTAGCCCTTGGCCGAAGCCTGCTGCCGCTTCCTCAGGAGCGCAATTTCATAACCATGTAAGGATAAATTTTAGAACAAGGACGTAAGCACGGTAACATCTGACTGGCTTATGTGCCCTATATAAACTGTAAAGACAAGAATAAAGTAGATCTGCGCCATCAGAGCCTGGTCTCCGGAAGTCTGTGTGCACACGTGTTGGTCGGTGCCTCCGTCTCTCTCACTCCCCTGCGGCTGGACCTGTTTCCACAGGGGACAAGATGAACAGAATGGAAAGGGAAGCTCAGAAGTAAGAGTTAGTGGAAGCCCAAATTTGACCATTTCACAATTATTGGTGGTGTCTGCCCTGTGCTGAGAAAAAAGGAGAGACGCTCTTATTCTTCGCTCTGCTCCACCCAATGGTATTCTTCCTGTATCTCATGTGACCACGGGAGTCCTGTTCACGCCAACCTGTAGGGAGCCAATCTCGGGAATCTTTCCAGCACTCTACACGCAAAGGTAAACAGGAAGATAGAGTTTCATCTACGTTCGTAATCTGTACCTTTAGGTCCCTGCAATTCCTTAGAATGCCTGTTCTAGCTGACTACATGATAATTGGCACCAAATGACTGGGTGGGAGCATGCAAATGAGGTGTAGAGGACTCTAACCCAGGACTGGCCAAGTATGTCATTCTGTTGGGTATAAGCAACAGGAGAATCCCCGGACAGCAGCAGGAGGAACCTGCATGGGAGAGTGGTGGCAGGATGGGCCATGAAGAAGGACCCACGGTGGCAGCAAAGACTGAGGCAGAGCAACTGGCTTCCTGGTTCATGAGAACAAGTGGGGTGTGCTGGGTCACTGAGCAGAACCAGAGGGGCTTTCTCACACTTGCTTGAGCAGGGCAGAGGTCAGGGGACCAGGTGGGTGAGAGGCTGAGGATCAGAGAAAGACGTGCCTGCCCATACAGCTGATAAGACCTGCTGCAGACAAAAGGACTGCATCCTTACGGTTTCTGACCCTAACTTGTGGTCACTTGTTAATAACTGCCCAAATGGACCCACCACACGAGTACTGCCCTTGAGTTCTTTGGGGCCATTGCAATGGGTTATCAAGCCAAAGGGAGAAACAGGAGTGTCACGGGAGCGGTGCTGGTGTGGGAACAAGAAAAAAGAAGTTGGAGAGTGGAGGCATGTCTGACCTCTTCCGCCTTATAGGAATCTTCTGTGGACAGATGTGGAGGTGGATTCTCCTTCCCCCTGGGCAGTCAGAGGTTAGATATGCTCCCACCCCGTTTCCTCAAGTACCAAGGGCCAAGCATGGGGGGCAGAGCAGTGAGCAGACAAAAAGCCTCTGTGCCGTGCCTTCAGGTTCATGCCAGGCACTGCATTCTCCTCATGCCACACTTACGGTGTCTCCCAGCCGCACTAACAGCTGCTGCAAGATCAAAAGGTCTCGGCAGATCAGGAAGCGAGTACTGGCGATCTTACACACGCCCCTGCACACAACGTGGCCCGCAGTGCCACTCCCGTAGAGCTGGGAGAGATTCACACGGACGTCCAGGGGCTGAGCTGTCAGGCGGAAGAGGAAGCCCATCAGAGGTGGCAGTTACCAGCGACACTCCTGTCAGAGGCCCGGTCACGGTTCTGTCACTTACCAGGATTGAGTCCCCTTTCCAGTTCCACCTCCGTCTCATAATCCATTTCTCGTATGAGAAGTCCAATGGCGTGGACTGGGTTCCGGATCTCCTGCAGTTTACCACAGATATCCTCCATCACGTTTTCACTAGGAGGCGAGGAGAAAGCCCGGTCACACGTGAGCACACAACACAAGACAGGCGTGTTCAGCGAGATGCTCTAGGAAAGTAGGCGGCCACCCCGTTAGAGGAGGAGCCACGGCTTTCAAGGTCCGGGTCAAGACACGGAGGCAGGCACACCCTCTTACTGCTCATAGCGACATCCCCTCACTTCCAGAAAAATATCTCAAAGGACGGTAAGGGGAAACACTTCTGTTTTCTAGACTGTCTACCTCAGTTAAGTTAGGAGTAGAACCGTGTTTCTTGTGGGTTTCCACGCCCCGAGGCACGTGCTTAAATGGCATGCACTTGACTGCCTGACACGAACAGCCTGCCTCTGGCGTTGCAAGCTGCTGCCTTTCCATTTGGAAACGCACTTTACCCTAAAGCCTCCTTACACGTCAATAGTGATCAAATCTTCCAGGATCTGCTCCGCGACCTTTTCTGGAGACTGCAGGTTGTAACAGCTCATCTCCATCATAAGGGACATGTCCGTGGTCACTGACTCTCCAATCAGCCGCAGGCATTTTATAAGACCGACGACATCCCGAGCAACGTCCACATCTGGGTGAGAGAAAGCTAACATTCAGCTCACCAGCCAACGGAGGGCGACTGACGAGAACAGAACAGTGATCAATAGAAGCCAAGGGAGCTCTCTGAAGGCTTGGGGGCTGTTAGGCCCCTTTGGTTTCTCTGAGACAACTACAAGGTAAACTGACCAGAGAAGGGTCCTGGCAATCAATGTTGATTTTAGTGACACAACTTTGGGCTTTTGGTGAGCATGTGCACAGCAGAGGCTCCCACTCAATAGTTCCTACACAAACTGTTCAGTGGCCCTGGTTACGTTTTCTCCTGGGCTCCACCCTTCTCATCAAACCCATGCTAGACGTTCGTGTCCAGGAATCTGGTTTCCCTGCCCCCTTAGCCTTCTGTTTCACTTAAAACTAGCAAACAATGGTTTTGTGCAGCCACCTGAAGCCGAGGAAAGGGTTTCGGCAAGAAGGGAAGTGAGATGGACAGAGCCATTATGATTACCATCTGATATGGTTGTCTCATCCTCTGTCAAAAGGTTCTCATCAGGCAGGAGATACAGATGGTCTACTAAGGAGGAGGGCACCAGGAAGGACAGGTATCCCTGGAAATGCAAATCATCCAGTCATGGTTCATGCCACCCACTCCTTCCGTCCTCATAGGCTCTTACCCAAGTCTGAGGTTACAATTAAAACATGTTAATAACAATAATGTAATTATACCAAAGACTCTATAACTACGTATGAATGACACTTTTACAACCACAACAATAACACAAAGCCCCACTGGCCGATGACAGCATCTCCCAGACTACCATGCGGAGGCCGAATAGAAGTGTCTCCCATGGGCTTGGGGCTTCCACCCTCACCTTTTTCAGCAGGCAGACCATGTTCGTGTGTGGATTCAAATGTAGGGCAAGAGGACGGGAGAGGGCTTCCTGATACTGGAGACAACAGGCATAGAACTTGCACCAGAATTCCTGCTGCAAACTGCGGAATTCCTCCTGCGAGAATTCATACTGCGTCACGCTGCTTTGGAGCTGGCAGGGGAAGAGGAAGAAGTGGAACCAAACGAACATTCCTTGTGCATCATGTGTCATACACCTCAAAACCAAGTCTCGGTCACGGAGTCGATGCTGACGCATAGTGACCCCACAGGGCAGGCTAGCACTGCCCCCGGGGGTTTCTCAGACTGTAACTCATTGCCAGAATAGAAAGGCCCGTCTTTCTCCCGTGGTTTTGAACTGCTGACCTTGCAGTTAGTGGCCCAAGTTGTAACCACTCCACTGCCAGGACTCCCATGCAAATAAAGATCGACTTCCTTACTGAAACGGTTTAGACACTTACACCTGCTATGAGCAAAATCAAGTGTGCTGTCCAGTCTCTCTCAACACTTATCTACATCAAGATGAAGACACGATGACCCCTTCTCCCCTGACCCTCACCTCACTTTCAACGGCTAAAGTAACTTCTTTCTTCAGCTCACTCCAGGAAAGATCCAAATTTCTCTCAGTTCCTCGGCAGAAAATCTAAAATGGAGAGAGATCTTCAGAGTATTATATACTCACCAGAAAGGAAGGAGCCCCAGTCCAGAAGGCACTGAGGCAACATCGTCACTCTACTGCAGAGACTGGACATGCCCAGATACACATTTACCCCAGTCCCACAAACCATTTGTGAGCGAGATCATAGTGACTTTAAGAGAGTTTATTTTGACCAGGGTAAGGGATTGGAGTCTCAAGTACTCCCTCAACACAAGAACACTTTGTTCTAACAATCCAGCATTCTGTGATGTTCACATACCCGACACGAACGTTGAAAACAAAATGGGTGCATAAGTAAATGTGGTGAAGAAAACGGATGGTGCCCGGCTATCAAAAGACATAGCATCTGGGGTCTTAAAGGCTTGAGGATAAACAAGTGGCCATCTAGCTGAGAAGCAACAAAATCCACATGGAAGAAGCACACCAGCCCATGTGATCATAAGGTGTCAATGGGATCAGGTACCAGGCATCTAAGACCCAGAACAAAATCATACCCAATAGGGGTGGTGGCGGTGGTGAGGGCGTGCAGTGGAGACCCAATGCCCATCAGTAAATAATTAGACACCCCCCTACAGAGGGGTCACAGGGAAGAAATGAGCCAGTCAGGGTACAGTATAGCACCGCTGAAACATACAATTTTCTTCTAGTTCTTTGGTGCTTCCTTCCCCCTACTATCATGACCTCAATTCTACCTTACAAATGGGATTAGACCAGAACATGCACACTGCTACAGATAAGAGCCCGAAACACAGGGAATTCAGGATAGATACCCCCATCCCTACCCCATGGCCAATAATGAGAGTAGAGATACCAGGAGGATTAGGGGAGGGGAGGGGGAGAAAAGGGGAATCGATCACAAGGATCAACCTACAAGCCCCTCTCAGGGGGATGGACAATGGAAAAGTGGGTGAGGGGTGATGGAGGACGATGTAAGATACGGAAAAAATAATTATAACTTATCAAGGGTTCCTGAGGCAGGGTGGGTGGGGGAGGGAGGGGGAAGAAATGGGGAGCTGATATCAAGTGGGAAGAGAATGCTTTGAAAATGATGATGGCGGCATATGTGCAAATGTGCTCGACACACTGGATGAATGTATAGATTGTGATAAGAGATGAAAGAGCCCCCAATAAAAGTATTTAATAAAAAAAATTTAAAAAGTGATTGGAGTCTATAAACCCCGGAGAAATATAATAGGGTATCATTTGGCTCAGTATAAAATGAGAACTATTATTGCTTAGTGGGAAGGAAGATGTAAGGTGATGTCAAGCACATATACAGCTGAAGGCTGGTACGATGGTATTTATGCTAGATTAGAGATGGGGTGGGCCATTCTGCTGGACACTTCTCAAAAGAAAGCATTTGACAAATGCTTGCCGGTTATTTAAGAACTTGGTGTGTAGGAGACAGAGCCAGAAACACTACTATCATACATCACTTGTTTTGTGATGGTTGCACCGGGTGCAGTTGCCTTAGCAGTTCCCTGCTTCAGCTTGCAAGATTGACTTCCTACATGACATCCTCAAGGAGAAGCTACATGGACCTATCCCGATGCAGCCCTGGGTGCTGGAGCAGCTGTGTGGAGACCCCTGCTAGTGCTGAGATGCTTGTTCGTTCACGGACTCAGCTTTCCTCCTGCAGTCGGCATCATTGCCTCTGTTTTGTGAGGTGGAGGACTCTGTGGACTGGTGTTGGGTTAATGGGTTACTGTTGGATTGTGGATTGTGAATATGTATGGATTGTGATAAGAGATGAAAGAGCCCCCAATAAAAGTATTTAATAAAAAAGTTGCTGTCAACAAGGTGAACTGGCTGATGAGATAAAAGGATGGGCTTTAGGACAAAGCCATCTCAAGTTGTAGCAGAGAGAAAGCATGCAGTCAGCAGATGTTTAGGAAGGAACCTGAAAGACATAAATCTGGAAACCACATCACTTGAGGAAAAAGTTAAGGAAATCAGTGTATGTAGCCTGAGAAAAGACGACCTGGGAAGATTTCTGAAATAAATGAAGGGTTGCTTAATGGAAGTGAAATGGGCAATAAGGCCAAGAAGGGAAGTGCCAATAGGGGCGGGCTCAATTCAATACTGGAAACGCCCACACCCAAGCCCACTGCGACTGTTGACTTCAACTCAGCGACCCTATATAGGGTTTCTGAAGCTGCACATCTTCATGGGTCCAGCTAGCCTTATTGTGACCCCACAGAGCAGCTGGTGGGTTTGAACCACAGACCTTGCGGGTAGCAGTCCAACGCCTAACACACAGTACCACACAGGAGCCTCCTTTCAACTCTGGAAAGAACTCGTACATTATGTAGTTTGGGAACAAGGACTCCCATAGGAGGCGAGCGATAAACTGGTAGCTGGAGGAGGCACAGAGACTTAGAGAAGACTCAGAGGAAGTTCTGCTGGCGTGGGAGATGAGACTAGGGATTTCCCAGGTATCTTCCCATTCTATGAGGAATGCTGCAAGTTTAATCTCATGGAGCTTACTGGCAATTTAAGGGAGCTATATGCCTTAAAAAAAACACCACGTGACTAAAACCTGAGCCCCTCTAACCCCACCCCCCGGTTTTCTTGAATTAAGCCAGACCTTCACTGCACTAACATAAAAGGCACAGAAAGCATCACCAAAAATAAGCCAAGGACTTGGCACTGCTTTCTTCCAAGTACCGAGCAGTGTACACCACGCATGCCAGGTGGGCTCAAGTTTCTTTCCCACCAGGGCCATGCTTCCTTTGCACTGGGGAAGTGCACACAACCCCCACCCCATCATCTTACTTGGTGGGAGGAACATTTTGCCGAGTTTTACATAGTGTTTGCAAGCACGGGTATTCCTATCGTCAGAATCCCTTCAGTGCTTGGTACAGGCCTAACAAACACGTAGCAGTGAGTGCTAACTATCCAGCGCAGTACCAGACGGTCGAATGGTCTGCAGTCAGCCTTATGGGTTTCCTGCTGACCTGTAAAGCTCTGCACAAAGCTGCATTGATGAAGCGTCCCGGCGTGAAAAGGCTCTGCAAGTAAATCTCCTGTAAGGACACGAAGACAAAAATCAGGATGACTTAAACATGAGGAAAGTCTGTTAACATCGGAAGAAGTTGCCTGTTGTCCTATCATCACCGTCTGCATTCTTCCTCCTCTGAACAAAGAGCTCTGCCCATCCACCTTTGAGCCACACCAAGCCATGGAGTGGAGCAGTTCCATTTTCCGCTTGGAAGGAAAGCCTGCAGTGTCTTCGTGTGAACCCAAGGGACGGAACAGGGCGTGCATCGCACGCAATGCTTCACTGGGTTGCACTAGGAATCGGGCTGGGCAGAGGCTAATCTTACACGGAGGAGGAAAATCACACTTATTTGGTATAAAGATCTTGCAGACGGATATTAGTAAGAGAACTAAACTACACCGGTTTCTACACTGTCCACAAAAGGACTCACTTATGGCTCACATATTAAAAGGTACTAAACCAATAATAACAGGTATTATGAATTTAAAACAATGGCAGTAATCTGTTGCAAGTGATGACATGGGTATAGAACACAAAGCCCGTAGTTTATCTAATTAGTTTGACTTCAAAGAGCTCATGAAGCGGACCTGTTGGAGTACAAAGCGTGACTGACCTTCATCCAAGTCTCCCTCCTAAACTGAGGGCAGGGTAAAGGCAAATGACCAAAGTGATAAAGGGCAAGATTTTAATAATCAATGTGCGATTATGGCTTCCAGATAATTGTTAACTTCCAAGAGTTACCAATGATTAATATTCAGTAACCATCAGCAATGAACTCGAGATGAAAATTTTAGCAACGTTCAGTTTCTGGTCATTAAAGCGGGGGATTCTGATCCTGAGAGCAGTCCAACAGCTTCAGCTCCTGACCCTGTGTACTGTCCAGTCGGGCACCACCCTCATAATCATTGTAAGCCAACCATGGCAGCCACTGTGGACTGGGCACTTACTGCCTGTCTCTGCCCAGAACCCAGCCCTCCTTCTTTGACTAGCAAACCCCTACCTTTCTGTAGAGAACCATTCCTCCACCTCCCACACTAGGCTGACTTCATCCCGTAACGGCAAGGCCCGGACTGAACAGGGCCTCATGCAGGCCAGACACTCTCTCCCCCATGTCCAGAGAGACCGTGTCGGGAACTGGCCCAGGACTCAACCCAGGCCAGTAAGTGCCAACTCCTGGGGCTGCAGAGTTCACACAATGCCTGGAAATAAACCCGGAAAAGGCGTGAGAGAGGGGGGACCTGCACAACACCTGGGACAGCACTGCTCCAGTGGTCCAGAGTCAGTGGCACTGCGCTTCTCAGCTGCCCAAGCCAGTGGGCTGGCTTCCAGTTTAACCCTTTCATGACTGAATTATTTTTTGCTTTGAGTTTTCCTTTTTGAAAACGTGTGTGTTCACAGGAATGGATGGTATTTTGAATGAAATGATTTAAAAAAGCATATTTTCTGAGGTTAATATTGATTTCGATACAGTTAGTGGCAAACGTGTCCCAAGGGGCTCTCTGGTGCTGGGGTTGTGGGATGAGGCCCTGTTTCTTCAGATTCATGAAGTTATTCAGGCTCCCACTAGATGGCAGCGTGCACTATAATGGGTACTCTACCAGGGGTCATGGAAAAGGCTGTCAGTGTAAAGGGGGTTCCTATTACTTGTCATTAAAGAGTTCTGCTTAACACAATGGTTCTTCTCAAACGAATGACCGGGATAGACTGCTGGCTTACAAAAGGTGTGCCATCACTCTGCACTGCTTACTCTGGGGTCTTGATCGTCTCTGATGAGGACCTCTTCCTCTGGTGGGGGCTGCATGAAGACAGAGTTCCACTGACCTGCAATGTTACTGCAGAGAAAACAGTCCATCAGGCCACACGGAAATGATGGTGAGGTGAGAATAAGCTTACTCCACGCAATCTGGTTGTACAGAAGCTCGCCAGCACAGAGCTACAAGTAGCCAATCCTCACTCTGCACTTACTATTTGCCAGACACTACGTTTCAGGCACTTTGAAACATTCTTCCCACATTCTGCCCTGGGAGGCCTACACTAGCCCGAGTAGGCTGTGTCTCACAGTAAACTGTTGACTTCGGACTCAAACCCAACCCGTGTGCTTTCACCACTGTGCTCAGATGCCATCTCGGAAAGAGTACTTTCTGAGGTGAGGCTGAGGGTCGGCCTGGACACAACCATTTCTCGAAGTTGATCCCAGGATTTGGGGTTTTGAGACTCCCTAAGGTTCAATTATGTCCGTGATGCTCCAACAGTGTTCCAGACATTGCAGGGTTCCACACACGTGATGGAGTCAAATTTGTTCGGAAAAGATACTTTTTAACCACTGAACACTTAATAGTTTGCTACCCAATGTATTATCATCCCTTGAAATTTTGCTCATAAAACACTAATGTTCTGTGATCGCATTACTGTGTGTACCAGCCTATGTACACTATATTGGACTTCACACCAAGGTTTCAAGGAAAGCACTGTATGGGTCCATTCTATGTCTCATCGCTCATATGAGCCAATGGGGAGCCCACAGGGGCTGCGGTGCTCCCCAAAAGGCATGGTGTCAGGAACGAGTGCTGCTGAACAGCAAAGGAAACACCCGGGTCAGAAAGAATTTTGATCTTTCTCCCACCAAAGATGGTATTTTCCTGATCTCATTTCATCTTTAGAATTCCTGGTTTTGTCTTGGAACCCAATCTCAAGAAATAAGACCAAAGGCATGAGAGGAGCAGAAAACTGGAGCAGTAGGCAGACCCAGGGGTCGCTCCTTCAGAGGCCACCTCTGCCTGTGTTACTCCATCAGCAGCTCTCTGGACATCGTTTGAGGGGGAGGGAGGCAGACGAGGTGCCCTTACTGTTCAAAGTTGATGTATTTCACAGCCGTCTGGTTCTCCACATCATGCCACAGGGCCCAGATGTCTGTAGTGGTTAAGGCAAAGTCGACCAGTGTTTCCTAGGACAATAAGAAAGGGAAGGCAGTATTTCAGATTCAGATATGGGTGAAAGGTAAAACGGTTAAATACAATGCCAATAATCTGTCTGCACGCTTTGCAGAAGGCTGCGGCTGAAGGCCTCCATCCCAGGACATCTGTGGGCTCAGCCAGCAAGTGGCCTGTGGCCCTCGCTCGCGTTTGGCAGGCCTACCTGAGAGGTAAACAGCGAGGAAATGTGATCCAGACTGTAGCGATTACTCTCCGTGCTCACCAGCTGGAAAATGCAGAACTGTTGGGAACCAAGACAGCAATGCGTTACTCGAAGTGGTCAACCCGCTCCCTTCTAGGCCAAGTGCTCGAACAGTCCGAAACAGCTCGTCCAGATTTTCAACTCTGTGCCGAACCAAACTGAAACCACGGACACACTGCAACAGCAGTCGGCCAATCGCCAAGAAAAACACCTGACAACTCATGTTGGGTGTGTTAACGCTACCCTGAGAAGAAGTCAAAACCTAAAACAGTATTTGATGGAGAGTATTCTAAGGAAATTTTCTGGATAAAGAACATTCACTACAAAGTTAGAGCGACAAAGACTATCCTATTTGAGGGCGTTTCAAAACGCTAGTGGCAAGAATGAGAAGATAATGAAGCTCCTTCAGGAGAATGTGCCACCGGGAAACACTGGAGCGGCCCAGCCGGGTTGGCAGGAAGCGCCTGTGCTAGCGTGCTCCATGTGGTGTGAGAAATTAAGAGCCGAAGGAGATGAGGCACATCCACACTCAAGGATGGCCTGGCCCGGGGTGTCAGGGAATGCTTTGAGGGATTTCACATACAGGGCAGGCAAGGCTCAGGGTCGAATGTCCACGAGGTGGGGGCATCCACTCGGCCAGAGTCCAGCCTGGGGAATGAGACCCTCCCCCACTGGAATGTCTTATTATCCAAGCGAGTAAGCCCAGAGCAGACACATGCCTGGCACCCGCTGTTAGCAATGAACGCAAGGGACGTGGCACAGCAGCAAACACCCAACACTCAATGAGTGGCTGTTCAGGTCAGGATCATTGCATCACAGCAGGGGCTGTCCAAGGTCTGCGGGAAAACTGTATCTTTCATTCCACTATGCGAAGGCCCCATGTATTCCAGTCTAACACACAAGAGCAGGTGTTTGGATGAGGAGCAACATTATTTTTCCAATCAATTTCCCTCCAATACCTAGTAACACCTCATTTCCTTTTCAGTAACTGCTTCTTACCCAGACTTCCAACCTTGCTCATTCTTGTCTGGTCTTGGCTAAATTCCCTTAAACTCTCGACTCCCTCCCTCTTCCACTCCGGCCTCCTTCTAGCTCTTCCACTCCACAGCACAAAGCCCAGCATCCTCAGCCCAGAAATGATGCCACGCAGCTTGCTGAGGCTGCTGTGAGGAGCTCATTCAGACTCAAGAGTCCACAGCTAAAAGCAGAGAAACTGGACACACGCCTCAGTGCTTTCCTACCTGCCCGTGCTTTGAAGCGTGCATATATACCCCCAGGTAGAGGCCCAGCGAAGGGGAAAACGCCAGCCGTAATTTGTGTCCGGTCCCAGCTGTGAGCTGCAGGTCTTTATTCACTGGGACGTATTCCAGCATGTCAGCTACCATCAGGCACATTTGGTCCTGCCCAAGAGGAGAGATCTATTTTTTAAAAATAATTTTATTTGGGGCTCATAAAGCTCTTATACAATCCACACATCCATCGTGTCAAGCACATTTGTACATTTGCTGCCATCATCATTTTCAAAACATCTTTCTACTTGAGCCGCTGGTATCAGCTCCTCATTGAGAAGAGATCTTAAGTGGCATAAAAAACCCCAAAACAAAAACACCAGATGGTAAAAAGTACTCCTCCTTATCCAAGGTGCCGTGGTGGCTTTGGCATTGGGCAGCTAACCGCAAGGTCAAAAGTTCAAAACCACCAGCTGCTCCTTAGAGAAAGTTGAGGCTTTCTGCTCAGAAACCCAGAGGGGCAGTTCTACTGCCCTCCTGGGTCCCTAGGAGTCCGAATCATCTCGAGGGCAGTGGGTGTGGACCCTTATTAAGGATGCACACCTATCCCGCCAGCACCCGTGAGAGCTGATGTGTGAAGGGCCTGTAAGAGGCATTTATGGGTAAGACGAAAGCTCTCTTCAGTCTGAAAGATGAAGGCATCAGTGGCTTGCACCAACGTGTGTTCATAAAACAAGTCTGTGCCTCCCGAGTGAACAATTACTCACTGAGCTCTTTTCAACTCTTCTGTTGGGTTCAGACTTTTCAAAATGAAAAGGCCAATAGGAAGGGGAAGTAGATGGAAAACAAAGCTACATGGAACTACAGGAACCTAGGAAAGACTCACAATGTCCAAACCTGTTGACCTGACCACCTTGCAGAGAAGAAGCGCCTCCTGTCAGTTCCCTTCCCATCGGCAATCCCACTCTGACTGAGCGAATGTCCCACTTACCTTGAAAGACCACATCCGGAGTTTATGATCCTGACACAGAGCAAAGATGAAGGCATCATGGTCACCACAATGGACTGCCAGACTGAGGGGACGATCTGACGGCCCCTGGTCACCCCTAAAACACAAGCGCCCAAGGTGTTAGAATATGACTGCTGCATGCAGGGAGGGTGAGGTGGAGAGGGGGAACCGATGACAAGGATCTACATATGACCTCCTCCCTGGGGGACGGACAACAGAAAAGTGGGTGAAGGAGGGACTTCGAACAATGCAATATATGGCAAAATAATAATTTATAAATTATCAAGGGTTCGTGAGAGAGGAGGGAATGGTGAGGGAGGAGGAAAAAATGAGGACCTGATGCCAGGGGCTCAAACGGAGAGCAAATGTTTTGAGAATGATGAGGGCAACGGATGTACAAATGTGCTTTACACAAATTGATGTGTGTATGGACAGTGATGAGTTGTACGAGCCCCTAATAAAATGATTAAAAATAAAAAAAGAATATGATTGCTGCAAATCATCTCAACAGAATTTGCGAGGTAACAAAACGGGTAAATTTTATATACGTATGTAAATGTGCAATGAACAAGTGTTTACATGCAGGTGTAAGGAAATTAATTTGTTTGAACAATGACTACAATGCATTTTGAAAGGTCTGATGTAGCTGGGTAAGAAATATGGCTCCGTTTTGTATCATTTTAATCCAGCCATCAGAACATTCACAGAACACGGGGTTTGCCGAGTCTGGCAAGGGCCGAAGCGGACGCGTGAGCACAGGAAGGAGGAGCAGAGCGGATGCGGTCCAGGAGTCTGGCCATAAACAGGGTGGACCCAGGAGTCATGCTTTCCTCAGGTGAACTCGGTGCCACACAGATGCTGCTTCTTCCCAGCGCAAAATCGTTGCCTTCTTGAGCCCTCTGGTTTACCTGCCAGGTGCCACTCACCTGATGGCTGTTGGCATCCAGCCGGTCAGCAATCGCTGCATTACTGAACTCTGTTTCAGCTCCACAACGGATACTGAGCCTGCAGGATGGAAAACCATTACTGATGTCCATGGACAGAGAGAAGCCCTAAGGCAAGAGGGCCGGCGCAGTCACCACTAGGGTCTTCAAGCGTGACCAGCCTCTCCACGTCTACCCCAACAGTTCCAGGATCTACCTTTCCTGTACATAGCATAGCACACATTTTGAACTGTTTGGGGCTCAATACAAATAGTAACTTTGTACTCCAAGGGAACACTTTGTAACGCAAAGATAGTAACACACATTACCATTCAACAGAATTACATCACTCTTCCATTCAAAAGAATCAGGAATGCTTCACAGTCCAGGAGCTGTGGGCACAGCAGTGAGAACAAAGGGAAACCGCCAGCCCTCATGGAACTTCTACTCCACTGGGGCAGGGGGGGTGGGGGCAGACTGTTCATTTAAATAAAATACTGGTAAGTCGAGAAAAATAAAACAGGGAGGGGGCAAAACCAGGGAGGAGACACTGAATGAAGACCCACAGGGATTGAGAAAGTGAGCAAGTCAGAGGGCACCTGGCAAGCTCAAGGAACTGGAAGGAGGTCGTGTGGCTGGTGCAGACGGCGACGTGCACGTCAACGTGCGGACTCTGCCTTGACCCCGGCCACTGAGGGAGAGTCACCGAGGGTTGTGAGCAGTGGAGTGACAGGACCAGCTCAGGCTTACAACGCCTCACTGGCTGGGAAGTTCCCGAGAAGTAAGGGCCGACTTGGGGAGACACTTAAGCAGTGATTCAAAGAACCAAACCCACTGCCAATGAGTTGGTACCGACACCACAGGACCGAGCAGAACCGCCTCTGTGGGCTTTACCCCAAGCCGCCATCTCTTCCTCTCTCCGAAAGGCTGGGGGAGTTCAAAGCATGGATGTGGCTAACAGCCGGGTGCTTTCACCACAGCACCACCAGGACTCCCCAGAGTGAGCTTCCCCATTTGGAGGAATTTGACCAAAGCACCCCATCTGAGCTGACACAGCTAACCACATCTCAGGTGACCTCCGCACGCCCCCGGCCTCAGCATAGCTCCCCAGAGACTCTCCTGCTGCGCGGCCCGGGTGGGGTGGGGCATGGACTGGGGGGTGCTCAGTCTGTCCCTGCCTCACCCCCCTGGGAGGACATGGGGCTCACCAGCAGCTGGGGACCTAGGGGGACTTGGCGTGCAGGAGCCCGGGCGCAAGGAGCGGCGGCTAACCACCTCATCTACAGGGTCTGGGACAGGTTCTCTTACGTGCACCGATCTGCTTGCCCGCACTCTAATATGCTGCAGGACGGGGGAAAACCTTGGAAGTGGAGGTGTTTCTGTGGGACCCAACAGGGAAACCAGAATATGTGGCTACTTGGGAAAAACCTTGGAAGTGGGGGTGTTTCTGTGGGACCCAACAGGGAAACCAGAATACGTGGCTACTGCAGGGACATTAGAAGCAACGTCTGCAGCGGAGATGATGAATGGGGTGGGACCTCTCAGGTCTGCTTGCCCACCAACATTCTTTGCTTACAGCGAATTCCCTGCTTGGTCTTGGATCTTACCAGGCATGTCGTGAGGAGGTAGTTTGAGAACAAAGATTCCCCCAGAAGCAGATGGCAGGGCAAACAGAGCCTCCCCGTCACTGCTCAGCCAGGCTGCCGAGGTGGTGGAATTCGGGGCCAGTCCAGGGACAGCCGGGATGAACTGATAGTTGCAAGGGTCCCTGAAATCCACCTTTCCAATGTCGGTGAAGATCGACTGCATCTGACTTTCGGCGACCAACTCCTGTGGAGGAAGCAGACACCTCCGTGAAGTACACGAACCCGAGTGTTGCTGCCTTCCTCCCACGTGGTGCTACACGAGCTGCCAGACAAAACGCTTAGGAACCTGGAGTAGGGAATGGTTCCTTTTAATGACCACCACGTTCTTCCACTAAAACGCGCGCCTGGTTCTCTTCAAGCAGCAGTTATCAAAGTGTAAGCGGGCTCAAGGGGAGGAGCCCACCTAGCCTCTGGCCCCCACGGACACTGCTCTGCTACGAAGTCTGCAACAGCCAGGGTCTTTTGGGAAAGAACCAACTCACACTCCTGTACATGCGAGAAGGGTGTGGCAGGAGCAGCCGGTGGACCGTCTGGTTGGTCAGTATCAGGACGGTCACGTGATTCTGCGTCTCAGAGACGTGTACCCCTCCTGGCAAGATGCTGCAGTTTTGGAATTTGAGGCGAACGGCATTGTTCAACAGGTTCACGTCCAGGGACTCCTCCACCAGCTCCAATGTGTCTCCCGAGGTTTTCCTGTTAAAAAGGACACATTTGTTGAAAAGAAAAGATCCTGTCTTTCGTCCCTCAGTGACAGTTATATCCAAATAAGGAAGCATCGGTTCCAAGTGCACCCTCCCCAATGGAAAAGCGTGAACAAACTCAGACCCGGTTGACAGTCCAAGCCGCCGCACATCCCGTGGTGTGGCTTGGGGACACGGGGTTGTTCTGCCTGACCCACAGTGCCTCTGCACACAGGACACACCGGGCCTCATGTGTCACCCGCCAGTGCAGCGGAATGTCACCTACGTCCCAGCAGGAGGGTGCTGGTCACCTGAAAAAGGCAGGCTCGTATTGCCTTGTCCGTGTCCTTCTACCTTTGCAATTCAGCTCTCCACCTCCTTGTCCTTGGTGCCTTCTCGGAAGTACCGGATGATGCTTATGGCTCCCCAAGGAGCTTCTGCACCTTGGGCTGAGGTCCCATTTCCTGCAGAATGCTGAAGCAGAGGCCTCCGTGCAGCACACCCATGCTACGTCACCAGCACACAATCTTCTGTATCCTCAGTCTTGTCTCTTAACACACTCTTCGCCTACCTGCCTTCTGGGGAAGGGTGGGTTCTGGAACTTCCCCAAGGACACTGTCTCTACCATTCTCCTGGTAGTGGGCCCTTAAGGTTGGGTCCAGGTGTCCTACTTGCTCCCCAGGGTCACTTCTAAGCCACGTGCATCCTTCCCAGCCTACACCACTTAGCCCTGGGGCTGGGCGCTCACCAGCAGATCTAGTGCTATCCTCGCTCACTGCAGGTGTCCACTCATCCCTTTCCTTGAAAACCTGAACTCCTGGCTGGAGCTGTCATTCTCTCCAGATCACTCCTGCCACAACCCACAGGGATGTAAACACTCCCGTAGATGCTTTCTCTAATATCGCCTGGGTGCCTTCTACTCCTCTCCCGCTAGCTGCCTGTGCACACTACCCTCCAGCTACCACTTGATTTCTCTGCTTCCCTTCCAGCAGCAATACAGACTACCCAATGCCTCTATCTGTGGTTCAACATTCTTACATAAAAAATATTGGGAGGTAAGGGAATGGGCACTTAATTGGCCAAAGAAATTCCTCAAAGGTTTTAAGAGAATTTAAAGTGCTACTTACAAAGCATTTATTGTGTTAAGTATTACAACAGAACACAGAGATGATTTAAAGCACACAGGAGGATGTGGATAAGTTAAGGCACTCTGACAGCACTGTTGGGCACTGGTTTGCTAACTACAAGGTCAGTGGTTCAAACTAACCAGATATTCCTCAGGAAAAAGATGAGGCTGTGTGCTCCTCTATACCCCACATAGGATTTGGAAACCCTATACAGGATTGCTATGACTTCGAAGCAAATCTGTTTTGGGTAGATTACATGCAAATACTACCCCTTTTTATTAAAGGGAATGGAGAATTCCCAGATTTGGTGCTGGGGGGCAAGGAAGGCCTAGAACTGGCTCTCCGTGCATATCTGGAGGTAACAGTATTCCTTGGAAGAGTTGTTCTGTACCAGTGGTTCTTGACCTTCCTCATGTTGCCTCAACCCTTTCATAAAGTTCCTCATGTTGTGCTGACTCCCAACCATAACATTATTTTCGTTGCTTCTTCAGAACTGTCATTTTGCTACTGTTATGGGTCATCATGTAAATATCTAATATGTAGGATGTATTTGCATTATTACAAATTGAACATAATTGTGTAAGTCTGGGTACTTTAGAGAAACAAATCCATTGCAACTCATGTATGAGAGAGAGTTTTATGTAAACATTAAGTGTGCATCAAGAAAACATCCCAACCCAATGATGCTGAAGCCCACAAGTCCAACATTAACCCATATGTCCAACACCAATCCAAAGTCCTCTTCCATCTCACAAAACAGAGGCAATGATGCCCACTGCAGGTGGAAAGCCGAAGTCAGTGAATGTATAAGCATCTCAGCGCTGGCAGGGGTCTCCACATGGCTGCTCCAGCACCTAGGGCTGCATCGGGGTAGGTCCATGTGGCTTCTCCTTGGGGATGTCTTGCAGGAAGTCAGCCTTGCAAGCTGAAGCAGGGAACTGCTAAGGCAGCTGTACCCTGGTGCGACCACCACAAAGCAAGAGACCTGAGAACTCGAAAGGTGAGGCTTACTGAGCCATTTATCCTCCGCCCTTCAATTAATCCCACATGTGTTTATCGGCCAGGTTGGCACAATAAACTAACTAACTCAATAATTAAAGCATAGTGATTAATCACAAAACAATATGCAATTACATATTGCAAAATATTTACTTCTAATTACAAGTAAATGAAGTTGTCTAGAAGCATGTTGTAGCATGGATAAGTCCACGCTGGGTACTAGTATGTGGGCGTGTCTTACTGTGGGCGGATCCGCCAGGAGACAGAGGACTGGTGTCTCAGGTCCTAAGACCATCAGAAATAAGTGTTTTCCAACCCCCAAAGGGGCTATGACCCACAGGTTGAGAACCACTGCTCTATTTTCATACCTCCGCTTCTCTCTCAAGCCCTCTCCACTTAAGATTTGTGTCTAACCAGCTGGCTGGAGCAGTTCTTGACAAGGTCACCAATGGTCTCTACCCCACAAAGATCAATTTCCATCCCTCATCTTCCCCGACTTACTATTGATAATAAGCTGGCTCCACTTTTTAAAACATGCCTGTAGCTTCAGGAACCACTGTCCTTGGTTCAGCCCTCACCTCGCCAGGTGTTCCTTCTCTTGACCCCTTCACCAGGTCACTTTCCTAGATGATGGGGTGATCCCAGGCCTCAGTCCTAAGACCCCTGCTCCACCATCATTTACAAGTGGTCCTCAACACGGGGGATTTTTCCTTTCCTGACCCAAAGGTACTTGGGTTGTCACAATTGGGATGGGAAGGGTGCTACTGGTATGTGGCAGATAAAAAGGCCAGAGTTGCTGTTGGAAACTTCCAGTGCACAGGGTAGCCCCAACAACAAGGAATCAGTGTTGAGCGCTTCCAGTAGTTGTGTCCAGTCCAAAGAGCCAACACTTCCACGGCTGAGAGGCACCAGTTAGCCCTCATCCCTATGTGATCTCGTTCAGTGTAACAGCTCTAAGTGCCATCAAATGCCCATGACTTGCAGCTGAATCTCTCCACTGAATATGGGACTACTGCCACGACATTTCTTACTTAGGTATCTAACAGGCACCTCACACTAGCCCTGGTTAATTCTGACCCAATACAACAAGAACATGCTTCACCTGTTTTCTTCCCCATCTCTCATCTCTAGGCAACTTTCAGGTGCGCAAGCCCAAAATCGCAGGGTTAAGTCTGGCTCCCCTTTCTATGCCCCTATGCCAGCAGGGACGCACACTGTCTAATCCACACTTGTTGCAATAATTACATGAGACCACTTTATGGCAATCTGAAAGCAGGTCTGTTTGTTCTTTGCTCATCTGTAGCTATACTATTTTAAATGCTTTTTGGAGAACGGAATATTTGCAGAATGAAAGAAGGTGCAAAGCAGTGTAAACACAGTCATGTTAAAAACTAGCCCTCAGGGCTGCGTTCCTCAGGAGTAGGATGAGACTGTCAACACCTTACGGATTTACAGCCTCGCCAACCCTCAGGTTCCACTCAATTTATAGAGTCCCTAAGAGTCCGAATCTGTTGGACGGCAGTTGGCTTGGTTTAGGTCGTTTCTCTCCTAGAACACAGTCTCCTTCATGCTTCCAACAGGCACAGACATCGCCTTTTTCCGAACTGCCCATTACCGTCGCAAGAAACCACCGTTTGGAAACAGCCACGGAATTTCAGACACCGAACCCACCCTGCCTTTCGGGGGCGTTTCTCGAACCCGGCACTTACCAGTGAATGAACCTATTCCTGGTGACGGCGAAGAGTTTGCCGCTCTCCACGTAGTGGAAGCCTCCCGCGCTCTCACTGTATTTCGCCGTTCCCGCTGCGGCAGTCACCGCCCCTGCAAAGGGAGCGCGGTCAGCCTGCACACGTGGTTCTCTGGGGACGGCAGGGGCTGAGGACGCCGGGGCTGACACAGTGACAACCCACGGAGAGAGCGGGCGGCGGGATGCGCAAGAAGCCGGACACCAGGGAGGCTGTGATCCCGGGCCGGGAGGAATACAGATTTCGAAGAATGGACTGGGGCGGGGGTTGGGTGGGGACAGGTACCCGGGGGCCCGTGGAAGGAGCCAGAGGGAGAGGATACGATCGTGGCCGGCCTGGCTGCTTCCGTACCCACGCCGCAGACCGTGAATTCCCGAAAATGCCTCGGCTTTTCGCGTTCAGCTCCGCTCAGCTCCAGAAAGC